CCTCATATACAAGAAGCATTTGATCTTCTTCTGTTAAGGATTATCTATTAAGAAGATAGCCTCTCATCACGACTTCTTCTACACAAAAGAGGGGCACTAAAGTTTGATAGGATAATGACGTCTATCTCCGATAATAGAATACCTCCAATGTAATAAAAAGAATACAAGTGAAGAACAAAGAAGAAAAAATCTCCTTCAACATAAGAGAGGGGCACTAAAGCTTGATAGGAGAGTGCCACCTATCTCTAACAGTAGAATGCCTTCAATGTAAGAAGAAGACTAGAGGAGAAGAAAATGAATGACAGCAAAATGTCCAACTTCTACACAAGAGGAGGGGCACCAATTTAAGTAGGAAAAGTAACCTATATAAAATAACGGAATGCCTCAACTGTAAGAAAGTTAGAAAGAGAAAAAAAGAATGAGAAATTTCCCTTGGCCCAAGTGGGGTATTTAAATCACTTTATGAGAGAAAGAAGGTTTCTGGAAGCTTCCAGAATTTTTACGACCTTTTTTAAAAATTTTTCAAATTTTTTCAAAATTTTTAGAATTTTTTCGAAAATTTTTGAATTAAAAAAAAATAAAATAACAACTGCACTTAACCCCGCGCCCCTTTTGGGCGCGCCTAATCGCGTGTGAGTGACAGCCAGCCGGCCGGTTCGGCCTCCCATGCTTGTTTAGACTATCCAAATCGAATGTTTTTGGGTTCTCATACTCGTCTTTTTATGTTCTAGACTCAAATTTGACACTTTCGAAGCTCAACGGGGCCTCTATGATCAAGTTTAAGAAAATTTATAATTTTTAAAACATAATTTTTTGTGATTTAGCCAATGTAAAATATCAGAAAAAGTATTTTCAAACTTTTGGAGCTTTGACGTAAGAAAATAGGAGAAAAACTAATATGTCATTAAAAAAATTATCTTGATCGGACACGAATCTCAAGGCAAAAATCAAGTTGGAAACTTCAAAAATTAAATCTGGGATCATCTAAACTTCGATTTCAACAAACTTATAGTCGAACTGATCATCTCAGAAATACGAACCCAACGACACCAAATTCAACTCAATTCTAGCCCAAATTGGTCTGAATTGAAGACCTGAAGTGTTATGGAAGGTTCAAACCACAATTTTGGATTACCAATCAATTTCAAAACATGACATGCTTATAGTTGAATCGAGCGGCTCGACAAAATGAATCCAACGAGCATAAGACAACTAAATTTTGATATCATTAAGTCCTTCAAATGTCTGACAAAAGATCCACGATCAAGGGAATATCGGTCGTCCATCCAAACCACTTCGCATTTTCCCTTGATCCTCCTCCTATTTACTGGTCATGCTACTCTGAGAAAATTATAAATAGCCCCTCATTTCTCTTACGAGGGGACCTAAACAAGAAGAAGAAGAGAAGAATGAGAGAAGAAGAAGAAGAGAATGAAAGGAGGGAAGAAACTCCTCGACCACCGTCGGGATTCTGCCCGACTTCCACGGGACGTCAGAATTCTGCCCGACTTCCACGTGACACCAAAATTCTGCTCGACTTTTAATGGACGCCGAAATTCTGCCCGACCTCTGTTCGTCGCGATATTTCTACCCGACGCCGGACTTCTGCCCGTTGTCGGATTTTCACCGAATATCTATCTGATGTTGGATTCTTGTCCATTACTGGACTTCTACCTGACGCTGTCCTTCTGACCTCCATCGTCAGACATTGGTCCTTTCGACCTCCGTCGCCCACTACTACGATCTTTTAGACTTACGTCCCCATCAACTACGGTCCTTCCAACCAAACGAACACGTCAACAGTGACACTTTATATTCTCATCACGTACTTTATATAATGTACGTCAAGCCAAGACATTGCCTTTAAGGAAGGGCCTCATTTGTAATCGACTGCAAATAATAGTGGATTCATTTAAATTGGGCTAGACCCTATGTTCCCTCTTTTTAGGGGTTTTTCACGTAAAAATTTTGGTATCTCATATGAATGCTACACCGTCTCTTCTTTCTGTATGCGTGCTGGATCTTCGTACAAAGTTAAGACGTTAAATTTTATATTTCTCTACCGCTGTGAATACTTTAGAACGCAACAAGTTGCTCTTCTATTCTACTATTTGATCTCATTGGAGGTTGTTGAAAGTTAACATATATAAAAAAAGTATAATTCAAAAGTTACAACCAACAAAAGATATTACAATAATTGTGACAACATATTATAGGATAGATGTAATAGAGTGCAAACACCAACTATAACATATGACAATAGTAAATATTACATCATTGCATAAAAAATGTAAATAAGATCACTTGATGCTATAAATATTATTGGACATAAAAATATGTTGAGTTATTATTGCATTACATGTGAAGGCTTTACTCTTAAATAAGGATGTGAATTTATTACTAGATTATGTTGGATGTTGGTACATAAAAGATATATTTTCATTCCTCAATATATAAAGAACAGTTTATTTTGTTTCTAGCATTTGGTTAAAAAGAAATGGAGAAAGAATTATAGACCTCAAATTAATTATTACTAATCATAATCAACACATTATTTATTTATGTTTATTTCATTTGTTTCACTTTTCTCCATTTCATATAAAGCCTTAGATTTCTATACTAACCTTCTAATCAAGCTTGTCACTTAGCATAAACTCTAATTTCATCATTATGTACATTCATCTTCGCCTTTTAGGATGTATCAACTTAATTAGACAGACCTTAATTAAGTCTAACGAGTTGATAAACATTAAGCCAATTTGTATGTTGCTTCAATGAAGTGTCCACTTGGGATGACTATAGATTTTTATAAAAATTTTTGTAAATATGCTATAAAAATTTAACTTTTTTACAAGCTGATATAGAAAACAACTCCCTAATATAAAATATTATTAAAAATAATATAAAAGTAATGGCCAAATAAAAATTATGAATACTATTTGAAAAGTAAAATAATAAAAAAAATTATCCCACATGAAATCTAAGTCATCTGAATAGCCACCGTGCAAGTCTAACGAGTTGATAAACATTAAGCCAATTTGTAGGTTGCTTCAATGAAGTGTCCACTTGGGATGACTGCAGCTTTTATAAAAAATTTTGTAAATATGTTATAAAAAATTAACTTTTTTACAAGCTGATATAGAAAACAACTTTCTAATATAAAATATTATTAAAAATAATAAAAAAGTAAAAACCAAATAAAAATTATGAATACGATTTGAAAAGTAAAATAATAAAAAAAATTATCCCACATGAAATCTAAGTCATCTGAATAGCCACCGTGCACTAAATCACTTGCATAAAATGCAATCCAAAATACTCAATTACTGAACTATACCATATTCAAACTACTTGCATCCTTCCTAGTGACTCCATTGACATCCAACAACTCCTATTCAATTACCAACTAATCTATTATGTCTAGTCATTGGTAGTCTACCAAGATAACCTACTCTCTATCACTCGAGAGATTATTAGGTGCGGAGTGCGGACGGAGAGAACTGTCCGCACAAGGCTTATTCCGCGTTAGATATCGGCACTCGGTACCGCTGGATACCACTGAGTACCGCTAGGTACCCATATTTGAGCGAACGGTTCACACTCCGCACCAAATAATTTTTCCTATCACTCCTATCTGAGCACCATCTCGAAGTCACAAAGTGGGAGATTTCTTCTACAGGATGACTACATCGACGGTCAAAAATGTCTCTATGTGTGGCTTTCTTCGATGTTTCTTGAGAATTGTAGCCCATCATGGCTAATAGGAGGCATTTGGTGCAACTTTATTTCACTTTTTTGTTTGCATCTCTTTACGTGAACATATTAAACTTCATACGATATTTCCTCTTCTGGCCATCTCCAACTAAAAAACTAATTTTCCAATTCAAAATACAATAATAGCCCTATTAAATAGTAATTTATTTTCAATAAGACTTTATTTTTAACATAAAAAAAATATTCTATATATATTCTTTTTCATTTTTATATTTATTTTTAATCATGTCTTTATATTTTTCAATTTTTCCAAAAAAAAAAAATCTGTGTTTGTGAACGCAGTGGCTGCAAAATTGGTGTCTCATTATTCACGTGGCAAGAATGCCATTGAAATTCTCATTTGAGTTAAGCTGGCAGTGGACAACAAACGCTTGTTTAGCGTTCGGTTGGAAATGACCTCAATGAATTTAGACTAGCATCCCTAGATAATTCTGAGTGAACGACTTTCGTAATCCAACTAAGGGGTCAATCGATTTGAAGAACTTTCTTGTAAAGTTTTTCATGTTGGATTTTGGATATATTAATATTTTAGTTTATAAAATAATTCTAAGTAAAATATCGGAGAATTTGAAATTTATCAATGTTTAATTTTAGTGTATTCTAAAATATAGTTATTTGTTAGAGTATTTCCATATACACCATAAGTCATAACTACTGTCATTGTCATTATCGTTAGCACCACCAAGCACCATTGTTGATGGAGGCGATTACCATTATTGCTTCTACTATGGTCATCAAAGGCGGAACCCCATTGGGGTCAGGGAGGGCAATTGGCCGATATACGAAACCATTTTTTCGCTTTCGCACGAACAACCATATACGAAAATTAGGGCCGGTTCCACCCCTGATTGACATCGCCAACAATCATTTTTTCGCTTTGCATCAATAATTTTACTTCAAATCAAATAAAAAAATAATCTCTTGCATTTAGTTTACATATAACTAAATACCAATAAAATATCTCAAATACATTATGTTACCTTTCATTGTATTTTGATTTTTGAATACTTTCAAAATTCAAATCACTTCTACTTAACGGATGATTCTTCGTCACAAGAACAAAAACAAAAAACATTCTTACTCTATCGGGTATTGGCTCCCATTTTTTTTTAATTCAATTTTTGAACACAGCGAAGACCACGACCGATTCAACACCGAAGAACACGACCGACAATGAAGCTGATAAGTTATTGACTTGTTCAGTCGTTTCCCAAGTCACGTCTACTTAATGGCAGCCGATACCTACGAATGCCCTCATCTTCTTCCCTAGCCCAATAAGAGAAATCCACAAACAAATAAAGAGAAGAATTAAACCTCAAATTCTTCATCATGGATTCCAGCCAAGTAGCCGTCATCAACCCTCTCTTCTGTGTTGCTTACCCCATTGATCTCGCCTTCACCACAAAGCCTCCGGGCGATAAAAAGCGCAGAGGCCTCGCTACCGTCGACGCCGCCGGCAACGTCGTCTTCAGAGCCAAACACTCCTCATGGAGCGGCCTCACCCAGCTCCGGGATGCTTCCGGGCATACCATACTCACCACGAAAGCAAAGGTTAGAACTTTATACAGCGTTAGCTATTAACTCTCTCTATTGAACTGAAAGATGATAAATTTATATTTTGCTGTCGTTGGGATTGCAGTTTTGGAGCTGGCACGGTAGGTGGCAGGCGTTCGCAGGGGAAAGTACAGAGGCGAAAGATCTATTGTTCAGCATCAAGAGGAGCTCTGCTTGGCAGTTTCATGATGAGTGGTTTGTCTTCCTTGCAGCCAACACAAAAGAGGAGAACTGCGATTTTAAGATAGTCGGAAGTTACAGCAAGAAGAATTATACCATTTTTAAAGGAGACTCATCTTTTGTAGTTGCTCAGGTAATTCAAACTGTTTTCTATTGATTCACACACACAAACAAAATCTTACTGAAAAATCAGAGGGCTCTACGATTTTCAAGTCAGAATTTTTATCTCTAGTCACAACACAAAAGTGAATCAGATTAATTTTCTTTTTGTCCACTTATTACTTGAAGATTACAGAGATGGTAGAGTTCGATATAAATTGTAAAAGATCTTCTTTCGGTTACTGATGATTGAAACTTCTCTGGTAATTTCAGCTTACTAAGCAGCATAAACTGAACATGACTCTGAAGCACGCATTTGGAGCCTCCATAAGCGCAAACTGTGACTACTCATTTGTCGCTGCTCTGATTACAATATTTCATGAAATTGAGGCTGCAAGGAATGCTGCTGCAGGAAATGCTTCTGCAGCTGCAGGAAATGCTGCTGCAGCGAATGCTGCTATGACGGCATCCACAGGAGGAGGATCAGCTGGCTGTTAAGCTTGGAAGCTGAAATTTGGATATTAGAAGTATTCCTATTGTAATTTTACACTTATTTATAGATTTAAAATGTTGTTCAGCTTTAAAGGAGAAATTATTAGCTTCGGACACCGGACAAAGAGAATCATCCGGATTTCTCTTTGTTTACAATAAAAATTTAGTCAAAGCAAAGGTATTGTAATAGCTACGTTTTGACTGCATTTTTACTACAAACGGATATCCGAACATAATAATTTGCCGCTTTAAAGATCAGTGTTTAAAAAAGTAGTGTTATATTTGTATATTGTTATTGTTAGGATTTTGTCCAGGCTTATATTTGTATTTTCAATTGTACTTTCTTTAAGTTCTTGTGTAGCTTTTATGCTGTCATTAAAGTCTATAAATATGTGCTAAGCCAAGCAATGAACATTAGTTCGGGTTTTTTCCTCTGGTCTCGCTCTCTTTTTCTCTCTCTCTTCCAAGAAGCTCAAGAGATGCTTCATCTTCCTCCCTAGAATCCAATAGTTATTGTGGTTTTACTTGAAGATGGTTGGACACTAGTAGATGGTTATTATTCCTATTTTCTTACATGATTTTCAAAAGTATGGGATATTTTAGGACATGAGTACTATTTATTATGTGCTGGAAATTTTGAGGTAATCCTAGGCCAAACATCTTTGATGGATGTCTCTCAAACTATTCCATCCTCGTTAATGTAATCAAATAACTTTCTGATACATAACATTGGATATGTTAAAAAGTCTTTGATAAAATTCTCTCAAACCTCAAAAAATGCTGAGCTACTCATATGAGAAGTTTAGTTAAATTATAAATCCTTCAACCATATGATAACATATTGCACCTCAAGAAATATCATCCATTTAACACATGAATAGATAAATAAAACATGCTTCACAGTCATTAAGATAAAGAAAATAGAAACAATGGCGTAATTGAAAAATACTCCTTTATAATAAAAAAATTATATAATCTCATTATCTTCCTCATCATCAGTGTAGAATGTCCTCAACTCACTTTTAATTCCATCATCATCCAAGTCTGGAGGGGAGTCCTCAGAGGCTTGACTGGGAGACAATCCTTCAACCACAGCGTTAATTTTGCGTCGCACCAATCGTACTCCTTTTAGGAAACCACGAACAAAACCTTCCTCAAGGCTCTGACGCTCCAATTCCCTCATTTCAGTATCAAATATCTTATCATGAGCTTCTTGGATGCGATTATGGATCTCTTGGTGATAAGCTGAAGACTTCTTAAAGTCTTCTATAGCCTTCAATGATATGACTTCTTCTCTAGCTTCCCTCTCTGAAAGACGATCTTGTAGTCTTTTATTCTCTGCCTCAAGTAATCCTTTCTCAGCCTGAAGTATGCTTAAAGCTTTGTCTCTTTGACAAATTTTTGCCCGTTCCTTAACCAATTCCTTATTAGAGAGGTCCTCTTTTTGGTGTTGCAGAGAAAGAGAATTAGACATCATCGCTAGCTCAGCCCTATACTCTGCTAATTGGCTCTTTAAGGCTGACGTTTCTTTAATCTTTGCATTCAACCTTTGCTCATACTCTTCTTGCAGATATTTAGCATTTACGAACTCTATATTACATTCATCCAGCAATGCTTCAAAACGTGTTTTCAAGTCCAGACTTTGGATCATCTGTAGTAGGCAACAATTGCATTATAATACATGAAAGAAAAAGGAGAAGAAAAAGATCAAGAAAACTCACCATCTCATTTGCGCGTTGCCGTTTGGTGCAAATATTATTCATTACCTCTTCAGAAATATGCAACTTTGAAGGCCAAATCCTTCCATCTGAACAAGGATTATGATATCAATTTGATGCAAATTTACTGCAACTTAGAGATCATAAACAAATTCAAAAGAAAATATTACTTGGCAGCTTTTCTGGATTCTTGGAAGAAGACACACTACTCTGTTGGTTACTAGTTCCAACTCTTTCCTCCATATTTGTTATCAATTTTTTGGAAGGATTTATCTCCAACTTTTGTTTGTCTTGTTGTTCTTGACGTTCTTTGTATCAGATGATCGGACCTTTATCGTTGTAGACGGTCTTTAGACTCCTACAGGATAGTCTTTACGCCTTTTATAGAGGATTGTAGCCTTCGTCTGTGGATTAGATCTTTCTCGGCATCGACGTCTTCCAATTTTTTTACAATCTGTTTTTTCCTCAATTCAAGGGAGAAACTTTGAACCACATAAAAGAATCTCTTTTCCCCATTCCTCGGAAGGGCTATTTATAGATTTGTGAAGAGGAGAATTTATAAAAAATTATAATTTTTCTAATTTTTTAATGATTTTTTTCTGATTTTCAGAAATTTTTAAGGCCCAAAGTGATTTTTTTTTTCTATTTTTTAAAAAATAAAAAACGGAAATATAATAATTATTATTTACTTTTCCAAAAGATCTTCTGAATTCGAATTTTTTTAAAAATTTTATTTCCTATTTTAAATTTTTTATAGGAATTTTAAATAGAATAAAACATAAAAATAAAAACTAATTAACGCCAAAATGGCGGTAAGGCGGAAACCGACCCTGTAGAGGCGGAAACAGAAATAAAATAAAATCTGTCAAACTAATTATGAGAAATTACAAATACTCAATACTTTGCATAGAAAATAAAGCTTCAATTTATGTTAAGAGAGAGTTACACAGTAATGTTAATAAATGATCCAACTCATCAATATGATTTGAACCCGACCGAATTGATCTGTATAAATTAAACGGGTCGGATTCAGATTGACCTGTCAACTCATTTTTTATCATAAAATTGCTCGCTAAATATCTTTTTTTTTTTTCTTAAATTATGGTGAATATTCTAGATGAATTTTATTTTATAGTGAATATCCTAGATTTTATTGTTAACAAGTTATAAAAGAAATTTGGGTTCACATCGTTTGGGTTGCTAGTGGGTCGGTTTCGTGTTGGAATGTTTAACATGTTTATTAAACAGGTCAGACTCGGATTGAATAAATTCAGATCGGATCTAAATCCGACCCGTAAATCCGTTTTAACACCCCTAAATTTCATATACTTAAATTTTTTATCAAAATCATAATAATAATAATCTTAAGAAACGTTCAAAACGTTTCTTAAATTTATAAAATTTACTGTTATAGGAACTATTGGTAAAGTTATAATTTTATTAAAGTTATCCTTATATAAATTTTTATTTATATGCACGTATAGTTTTGGTTTCATGCGCATTTAAACGAATAAATGCCTCACTAATATCTGTGGAAGCCACGGCTGCCTAATCGGCATGGTAAGACTCAGTATTACTTGGGATAATTTTTTGCGCGCAAATGTTTTTTTTATTATTTTAATAATTTTTTAGTTAAAAAAGTACTATAAAAGACAGTAAAAAATTATATCAAATAAAATCTTTAAATATAGCTTTCACTATAATAATCACCCAAATATGAAAGGTTTGAATAAAATTTTAGTTTCATCAACTTTTGCCCTCATCCACGAGAGATTATTACATGCCGACATCAAACGCGTCCGGAGGTGAATGAGGAGGCGTCATGTCATGCAATGCATCGTGTATTGAGTGATGTGGCATTTTCTCGTTTGCTTGTGGATGCGTTCAACATCTGTACGTAATAATTCTTCCATCAATATGGCATATAAAAAGGAAAGCTAAATATAATTAGGGATATTTGTGCAAATTTATTGGAATGCTTGAATGTAAATTATGGAAGAATTGATACGTCAACCAAAATCACCTTAATCTCGTGTGCAGATCTCAAGACATTTGAATTGAAAACTTTTAAGACTAAATTTTGGACAATCTGAACTCTGATTTCAGCAAATTTATAGTCGAATTGAATGTCTCAACAAGATGGACCTAACAACATAAAAAATAATCCAATCCAAACTCAACAGGTCCAAATCAAAGATCTGAAGCATAATAGAAAACTTCAAAGCATAAATTGGATGACCAAACTTTTTTCGGCCAATCATCATTACGGGACTTTCACACGACCGACTGCTGCAGGATCTCCACCCTCACTGGTCGATAATTACCGGACTTTCGCCCAACTGACAACCATCGGATCTCCGCCCAGACTCCAATCACTGAGCCTCCAATGCCCAACCACCAGACCTCCACCCGATCAATGGCCACTGCCAGACCCACACCTTTATAGATCGATAATTATTGGACTTCGGCCTGACTGACTACCACCTAGTCTCCACCCAACTACCAATCACCGAGCCTCCAACTAGTCGACCACTGGACCTCCACCCAATCTGTTAAGTTAGTTGCTATTTGCACGCTTTACATTTTTGCAACTTATGTAGTTTTGATGATTCCAAATATTATTGTTCAAATATGTAGTTATCTCCTAACAATTTTAGAAGATTTGTATTTGATCTTGTGTGTACTAACATTTCAGGAAAATCAAACTCCAGACTGCGAAGACTTCAAATCAATTTCAGCATGAAATACTTTGTAAATTTGAAGCTTGTACTTTTCTTTGAATCAAAATTGAAAGGGAGTGATT